ATGCCTCTACAGCCCCTGTTGCAGCATTTCTCGGGTGCCCTGATTTGCCGATCACCAAAGACGGGCATATTCAATGCCTGGCAACTCTCCGACTTCCACGGAGAGTGGCATTCTGTTCGCGGTGGTGGCAGCCTCCGGTTTCGCGACACCTTTCTACACAATCCTCAGGTTAGTTGGTGTCTGTGCATGCAGGTGTGTGCATTTTTGTGCGCGGGCGACGCTGTTGCATCACACCTACCGGGTGCCAAATACGCGTGTGCGGTACTGCGTTGATGGAGTGAGTAACCGTCTGAGCCATTGCGCTCACTACGAGAAAGGCTCAATTAAGAAGAAGAAGACGTCTCGATCGCTGGGGCAACACTTTTATTCGCCTGAGGTTTCGAGATCTGTCGCGGATTCAACATCAGAGACATAAGCAGAAAGCTGTCTCTGATGATGAATCCGCGACGGATGTCGAAAGGTCAGGCGAATAAACATATTGTCCCAGCCATCGAGTTTTCTTCTTCTTCTTCTTCTTCTTCTTCTCAGAAAGCAGTAGTGGTTACACCTTTCTGCTTATGTCTCTGATGATGAATCCTCTGGCGGATCTCGAAACGTCAGGCGGGTAAAAGTGTTGTCCCACTCATTGAGTTGTCTGCTTCTCAATTACTTCCTGCGACTCGCATGTTCGTTTGTATTGGCAAAGGCTCAATTACCCCCAACCTTTCCCCACTGACAAACAAAAATATATACGCTTTATTTTGAAGGTGGCATTCAAAATATTCAGCAAAAATGACTCCATTCACCGAGATAAAGAGATAAATACTCAAAGATCTAGAGGTTTACATAAAATCCACGTCTATTATGGACACAGATATAACCTTATCTTCTGGATCTCCGTTTCGTCGCACTTGAGTTAGTATGCTAGCTAGGAATGGGTATGCTGATATGCCGATGTACTGTAGGACATATAGCAGAAGCCTCGCAGTCATTAATTCAGAGTGGAGTGGATGGGCAAGGTCATCAAAAATGCGATCAGCGAATTGCTGGGCCGTTGTAAAGGGTCGCTGTAGTATAATAGCTGAGTTTATCCATTATGTCTGGTTTACAAAAACAACCACTCCGCCATCTTTACTGCTCGATAAGCATTTTCGGTCCATGCAAAAGCATCAAAAAGACGGAGGTGTACTATTTTACAAGTAGATATCGCTATTTAACTAAATCCCTTGAAGACAAGTAACTTTAATCTTACTGTGCTCTTTTTTCAACAGAAATAACTCCCTGTCTTAAGTTTTGTTGGTGATTAAACGAAAATTTCCTGACAGCAAACCAGGACTTGACCGTTTTTTTTCTCGGTTGTCGTTTGGGGCCATTCTATCAACCGCAGCGGCGTTTTTTCCGTCGCAAGGACTTTTGTAGGGAGGAGCGTGATGAACTTAACGTCGAACAATAAAAAATTCGAAAAATAGGACTGTCGCCGGTAAACAGATTCCAACTTAAGTTCATTCAAAAGGGTGTTAGTACACTTTAGCAATGACCACAGGATCATTGTGCAGACAAACAAAGCAGAGAAATGAGTGGAGTAGAACAAACTAACAAAATTCTCACGTGAGTCGAGAGCAAATAGAAATGGCAGCTCAACTTCAAAAGTCCACCGGACCGGATATTGCTTTAAGTTGCTTGGAGTTACCACGGTGTCCTAAAAGTCGTGTGTTGGAATGTTTTCAATGGTTGCCTAGGGTTCAGGTCCTGACGGATCTTCTTTAATGTAGCTCTATGCTTACTCTTACTGATGTACTGTCCGAGTCTGGTCTGTGTCTGTTGATAGACCAGCCTGCATGTGACGCCTGAGAGGCGGAAGGTCAAACGGCGTATCCAAGTCCATTTACGGTTTTGCCATTCAGAGCATTGTAACCTTTAGAAGAGAGAGTGAGGTTGATGAGGTTTGAATCAGCAGTGACTGATGTCCTTGTCTAGTTTAAGAGA